TTATTGGAGCATATGGATTTCAGATTTTTAGATTTGGGATGCTCAACCTGTAAGTATAAAGCAAATATTGTAAAACAAAACAAAACAAAACAAAAAACCCCAAAACTAAAATCCAAATAACTTCTGGTCCCAAGCATTTCCAGTAAGGCATACTGGATTTTGAACTCATAGTTTTAAGCACTCAAGCACCTAATCTATGAACTCTGGTAACCACCATTTGCTACTAAAAGAAACTATAAATATTAATATGTGGAGATATGGATGATTCCAGGTTTGGGGTACCTTTTGAGACAAGAAGGAAACTATCAGTAATGCTGATCATTCCAATAGGACTCAGGAGCAAGTTTAAAGGCGCTTCCATGACCAAAGATGGGTGCCAAACTATGTCATCAGTATTAGAATAAATAACTCTTCAATGCCCAAACATCAATGAACATACACAAGCATCAGGAATACCCAGTAACATCAGGACCTCATCAAACAAACTAAATAAGGCACCAGTGACCAATCTCAGAGTGATGGACCTATGGTGACCTTGCAGACAAAGGATTCAGAATAGCTGTTCTGAAGAAACTCAATGCACTTCAAGACAACACAGGGAATTTAGAAGCCCATCAGAGAAATTTAACAAAAAGATTGAAATAATAATAATAATAAAATCAAGCAGTAATTCTGGAGTTGAAAAATTGCATTGACAAGTGAAAAATGCTTCAGAGTCTCTAAACAGCAGGACTGATCAAGGAAAAGAAAGAATTAATGAGCTCGAAGATGGGCTATTTGAAAATATACAAGCAGAAGAGAAAAAGAGAAAACGAGAACAAAGAATTTTTAAAAATGAAATATACATACAAGATCTAGAAAGTAGCCTCAAAAAGGCAAATCTAAGAGTTACTGACCTTAAGGAGGAGGCAGAGAGAAATTGGGGTAGAAAGTTTATTCAAATAAATAATAACAGAAATTTCCAAACCTAGAGAAAAATATCAATATTCAAATACAAAAAGGTCATAGAATACCAAGGAGATTTAACCCAAACAGAACTACCTCAAAACATATAATAATTAAGCTTCCAAAGGTCACAGACAAAGAAAAGTTCCTAAGGGAAGAAAAAAGGAAAAAATAACATATAAAGGAGCTCTAATACATCTGACAGAAGACTTCTCAGTGGAAACTTTACAGGCCAGGAAAGAGGGACATGACATATTCAAAGTGCTGAAGGAAAAAAACCTTAACCCCTAAAATATTATATCCTGCAAAAATATTCTTCAAACATAAAGGATAAAGACTTTCCCAGACACACAAAAGCTGAGTGATTTTATCAACACCAGACCTATCATTCTTCAATCTGAAAGAAAAGGACATTAACAAATAACAAATCATCTGAAGATACAAAATTCACTGGTGACAGTAAGTGCACAAATATAGATTATAGATGTAACTGCAGTATATAAACCACTTATATCTTGAGTAGGAAGACTAAAACCTATCAAAAATAGTATATAAAGATGTTAATGGAAACAAAAAATTAAAAAAAAACAAGCAATGGAGTTAAAGTGTAGAACCTCTTTACTTCTTTTAGATCTTTTTCCTTGTTTGTTTGTAAGGAGAGTTGTGGTATGTTTAAAATAATTGGTTATAAGATTTTTTTGTAAGCCTCACGGTAACCTCAAATAGAAAAACCTACAACAGATAACAAAAAAATAAATAAATAAATAAAAAGCAAGAAATTAAAACACACTACAAGAAAATCACTTGTACACAAAGGAAGTCAGCAAGAAAGGAAGTCAAGAAAAGCCCACAAAATAACAAGAAATCAAACAACAGGGCAATAGTAAGTCCTAATATAGTAATAACAACATTGAATGTAAATGGACTAAACTCTCCAATCAAAAGACATAGATATACTAGCTGAATGGATTAAAATTAAAAAAAACAAGTCCTAACTATAATATATGTTGTCTACAAGAAACCCTTCACCTATAAAGACACAGAGACTGAAAATAAAGGAATGTAAAAAGATATTATATGTAATGGAAACCAAAAAAAAAAAAAAGGAGTAGCTGCACTTCTATCAGATAAAATAGATTTCGAGACAAAAACTGTAAAAAGAGACAAAGAAGGTCATTATATAATGATAAAGTAGTCAATTCATCAAAGGATGTAACAATTCTAAATATATATCCAGCTAACACTGGAGCACCCTCACATATAAAACAAGTATTATCAGAGCTAAAGAGAGACATCGACCCCAGTGCAATGATCATTGCAGACCTCAACAACCCACTTTCAGCACTGGACAGATCATCCAGACAGAAAATCAACAAAGAAACATCAGATTTAATGGTACTACATACCAAATAGACCTAATAGGTATTTACCTAATAGGTAAATACCTATTAGCTAAATACCTAATAGGTATTTACAAAAATTTTTATCCAACAGCTGCATAATATGTGTTCTTCTTAGCACCCAAATCATTCTCAAGGATAGACCATATGTGGCCATAAAGCAAGGCTTAAAAATTTTTTTTAAAAACTGAAATAATTAAAAGTATTTTCTCTGACCACAATGGAATAAAAGTAGAAATCATTAACAAAAGGAACACTGGAAACTACACAAACACGTGGAAATTAAACAATATGCTCCTGAATGACTAGTGGGTCAATGAAGTGATTAAGAAGGGAATAAAAAATTTTCTTGGAACAAATGAAAATGAAAACACAACATACAAAAACCTATGGGACATAGAAAAAGCAGTATTAAAAGGAAAGTTTATAGCAATAAGTTCCTACATCACAAAAGCAGAAAAACTGCAAATAAACAACCTAACAATGAATCTCGAAGAACCTGAAAAACAAGGGCAAACCAAACCCAAATCAGTGGAAGGAAACAAATAATAAAGATCAGGGAAGAAATAAATGAAGTTGAAACCAAAAACACAATTAAAACGCCAACAAAACAAAAACCTGTTTTTTAAAAAAGATAAACAAAATTGGCAAACCTTTACCCAGACTAAGAAAATAGAAGACCCAAGTAAAGGAAATCAGAGATGAAAAATGAGACATTACAACTGACACTGCAGAAGTTCAGAGGATCATTAGAAACTACTATGAGCAACTATAGGCCAATAAATTCAAAAACCTAGAAGAAAGATAAATTTCTAGGCACATGTAACCTACTAAGATTGGACCAGGCAGAAATCCAAAAACTGAATAGACCAATAACAAATAACTAGATAGAAGCAGAAAAAAAAAAGTCTCCCATCAAAGAAAAGGCCAGGATCAATGGCTTCACTGCTAAATTCTACAAAACATTGAAAGAAGAACAAATACCAATCCTACTCAAACCATTTCAGAAAATTGAGGTGGAAGAAATACTCCCAAACTGATTCTATGAGGCAAGTCAATGAATAGTCAATAGAGAAAACTCAACAAAGTAAAAAATATTGATTCATTGATAAACTTCTAGTTATACTGATCAAGTTAAAAAGGGAGAAGACATAATTTACCATTATCAGAACTGGAAGAGGGAACATTGCTACAGATCCTACATACATTAAAATGATAATAAGGAATATAAGGAACAACTTTGAGCCAATCAATTTGACAAATAAATCGGGCAAATTTCTTGGAATCCCCCCCCGAAAGCTCTAATATACTACTGAAATTAAAAATGACATAAGTGCAAAATATGCCATATCCATGGACTCAATATTTTTTAGATGTCAGCTGTACCCAAATTGATTCATAGATTTAATGCAATCCCAATGAAAATCTCAGTACACTTTTAAAAAAACTGACAAGCTGGTTATAAAATTTGTATGGAAATGCAAGAAAGCCAGAGTAGTTAAAATAATTTTTATAAAGAACAAATTTGGAGAATTACAGTGCCTGATTTCAAGACAATAAATAGTAACCAAGACAATTATGATACTGGCCAAAATACTGACCAGCATTTCTAAATCTTGGCAGTATCATCATTTGGGTCAGATAATTCTTTGTTGTGGGGAGCTGTCTTGTGCATTGCAGGATGTTTAGCGGTATCCCTGGCTTCTACCCACTATATACCAGTGCCACCATAGTTTTGACAACCCAAATAGTTTCCAGACATTGCCAAATATTCCCAGGGGTGGTTGGAGGAGGGTATAAAATCACCCTCATTGAAAACCATTGGTATAAACATAAATCAATAGACTAGAATACACAGTTCAGAAATAGTCCCACACATATAGGCCAAATTGATTTTCAAAGAGGTGCAAAGGCAATTCAGTGGAGAAAGGAGAGTTCTGAAACAGTCGGACAAACATATGCAAAAAAAAAAAAAATACAAAGAAATTAAAACAAAAAACCCTTCAACCCACACCCTATTCCATTAAAAAATTAACTAGAAATAGATCATAGACCTAAACATAAAAGCTAAAATTACCCAATTTTTTGAAGAAAATATGCAACAAATATAACACATTAATTGTAGCCTAGGTTAGTAAGGCAAAGATTTCTTAGATCTGACTCAAAACGCCCAACGTTTGTAATAAATTCCAGTTACAAAAGAGTACGTATATATAAAATACATATGTAATTACATATAAATTAAATTACAGAAAAGTTAATCTATAGTGGGGAAAAGCATATTGGTTGATTCCTGGGGCTAGGGGAGGGTGACTAAAAAGAGACCTTTTGATGGAAATGTTCTATAACTTTGTTGTGATGGTGATTATGTGATTATACAATTGTCAAAACTCATTGAATTGCCCATTTATAATTGGTGAATTTTATTGTATTTAAATTATCCCCTTAATATTGTAAAGTTAAAATTAACATTTTTAGTGGATTGAAACATATTAAATATTTTTAAAATTAATGCATTTATAATGATAATATGAAGAAACCTAATTGGTAACTCTTAGAGAATGCTAGGGAAATAACTTATTATTTTGATATCTGATAAATATAGATAAAAAATCAAGCATTTACCCTTTCTTTTCTATATGAATTGTATCTCAGGGTGACTCCAATAACAAGGAGGAAATTTTTTTTAAGAATTCCAGCTAACAAATGAAGAAGGTATGAAAGAATATCACCACTGTCCAGCCCTAATAAAATAATGGATGTTGGCTGTGATCATAGTTTTCTATGGAAGGCTTAGGAGAATTTTGTAATTATTGGATTAAGTTGATAAGTCCTGAACCCACTGATCTACCTTAACATCACAAGAAGAAAAACCTAACATGATCTGTCACAATACCTATAAAGCATCTTTGCCAAAACAAAACAATTTTTTTGTGCATATGCACGCGTGCGCACACACACACACTCATTATTGGTTTATGGATATACAGGAGACTGAAAGAACATTTTAAGAACTTCAAAGATAAGGAATTGGCACAATTCAGAATATGGGAAACTCTTCAAGGCAAAAAGTTCAATTTATTCAACAGAGAAATGACAAAACTCACGGAAATAAGAAAGGTAGCTGGAACTCAGATTAAAATAGTCATGGCAGCCAGCTTCCCCCAGAGCAAGTGACCCAAGAGAAAGGGGACAAAGAAGAAGCCACTCTACCTTTTACTAACTAGTTGCAGAAATCACATAGCATAACTTCCACTACATTCTATTTATTAGAAGCCAATTACTAAATCCAGCCCATATTCAAGGCAATGAGAGGATGAGAAGCCACCACTTGAACAAAAGAGCATCAAAGAATTTGTGGAAATATTTTAACAGTACCATATCTTCTTTCCCTCTTTTAATCCTTTTGCTTTCAGAGATTTTGTCTGATACTTGGCTTTGGCAGCATTTGTTTGTATTATTTGCCAAAGTTTGAATGTATGTGGCCCTCCAAAATTTATATGTTGGAACTTAAAACCCAAAGTGATTGTATTAAGAGTCAGGGCCTGTGGGGAAATGATTAAGTCATGAGGTTTCCACCCTCACGAATTGATTCATGTTCTTATAAAAGATTTTGAAGAGAGCAATCTAGTGCCTTTTTTTGTTTCTTTTTTGCCCTTCTGTCCCCTTCTGCCACATGAAGACATAGCATTTGTGCCCTCTGGAGGATACAGCAACAAGATGTCATCTTAGAAACAGAGAGTGAAGCTTTAGGACACCAAATCTGCCAAGACCTTGATCTTGGACTTCCCATCCTCCAGAACTGTGAGAAATAAATTTCTATTATTTGTATTTATCCAATCTATGGTATTTTGTTATAGCAGCACAAATGAATTTAGATGATATATTTTGCCATTGAGCCTTCCTATGTAATTGTGGGTGTATTTTTAATATGTAACATATATCTGGATATTTTAAAAATTCAATCTTATGGTCTCTGATTTTCAACTGATGCAATTAATTCATTCACAGTTATTATAATTTTACTGATGTTTAGACATTCCTGCTACCTTATTTTGTGTTTTCTATTTATCATACCTTTAATTATTTCCTTTTGATTATTTCCAATTTGCTTTTTAAAAATTTATCCATGTTTTCTTTGTTGTGTTTTTCCCATTTATTGGTTCTAAAGTTATACCATTTGTATCAGTCAGCTAAGGCTGTCATAACAAAATACCACAGACTAGGTGGCTTAAAAAACAGAAATTTATTTTCTCACCATTTCAGAAGCCCAAAGTCCACCATCAAGCTGTTGCCAGGTTTAGTTCCTCTCAAAACTTCACTCATTGGCTTGCAGATGGCCCTCCCTCCGTCCACACACATCCCTCGTGTCTTTTATACTTCTTATAAGGACACCAGTCATATTGGATGAGGGACCCACCCTAATAGCCTCATTTCACTGTAATTACCTCTTTAAAGGTTCTATCTCCAAATATAGTCACATTGAAGATTAGAAGATTCAACATGTGAACTGTGAACAAGGGGATGGATATAATTCAGTACCTAAAACAGCCATTCCTGTTCTTTTGCTGAATCCTTAAATTCTTAACATATTCATATCAAATTATTTTTCTATAAATACCTAGAGCTTAATCAGTTATCTACTTACTCTACTTTTCTCCACTCACTCACCCTACTCTTCCTGTTGTAGCATCCCAATTTTTCATCCTTGCTTAACCAGGAACACTTTCCCATTCCTAGTATCCTTTTTCTCAGGGCCTGGAGAACTTTTGGTGCTCCTCCCAACTTTGACAGCAGACTTTTCCTCTAGATATTTTGGTTTGGGCTTTCTTTCTTCAGTCTTACTCTGTTTTACAGTTTTCAGTAGATTCCTCACAGCTTCTGGATTGTCAAGCATTCTTGTTTTGAATTCCAGTTATAAATCTTAAAAATACATACATATACACATGCGTCTTCCATCATTTCTAGAGATTTGACATAAGAGGGAGATAGATTTATGTGTATATTCCACCTAGTATCTTAAAACAGAAGAGGTACACTTCATTTGGTAGTTAATTCTTCTGACTAGAGAGTTCTGATTGGGAGAATTTAAACTTGGAACTCCAAGCTAGGTTTGAATCAATAGAGGCCAAAAAAGTCTATATTTAAAATATTTAAAATTACAATTATAATGTATGTAATAAATGGTAAGTCTTGTTTCAGAAGCTAGCAGGTATAAAACTCCTCTATATAAAAAACAGTGCCAAGGAAGCAATTCTATGTCAACTTGATCACCAAGCAAGTGCTTAGGAGTGGCAGATGTAAGCCACCCTACAAAAATCATGCCAATGAAAGACAAACTACCCAACAGTATCATGCCAAGGGAAGGCACAGATGGCTGGAGAGCAGCAGCTATAGGTCTTTTTATAGCATTATCAGATGGCACAGTCGACATTCCAACTGGCCCTATGCCAATGGCCAAGGTAATTAGGGATGCCAACATGAGAATATTCAGAAGGCATACTCATCCTCACACCATCCAACATGAAGCCAGAGAACCAATCTTGGGTGGCTTTTAAGCCACAATGAGTAAAGCAAAATGAGTAGCTCTTATACCACAGTAATAATTAGTTTGGAGAGGTTACCTGAATTTTCAAAAGCTGAATAATATCCTAAAGACAAATAATACCAGCATTTCTGTCACCAAAGAAACAGACTTGCAAACCATACATCTTCTACCTAGAGAATGCATAGACAGTAAAAAGTCTAGATCTATAACAATAAGTGACATTTTATATTTTTAAAATAATCTAGAAGTTACAGAATTCTCAAGTATAGTACAAAGATCATTTTTTTCTGAACCATTTGAGAGTAAAGTGCCAACATACCTTTGACTACTTTAGCATTTATTTCCTATAAATTAGGCCATTCTCCTATATAACTGTAATCAAAACATCAAAATCATGAAATTAACACTGATAATCATTGCTCCTACTTAATCACTGAACTTCACCAATTGTTCCAATAATGCTTTTCATATCACAAAGTTCCATTTCTAGATGCATTTAGTCATTATGTCTCTTTAGTTTCCTTTAGTATAGAATAGTTCTTTGGTCTTTCTTATTCTTATACGAACTTGAAATTTTTAAAGAGTATGAGCTAGTTATTAGAATGTCTCTCAATTGGGGTTCCACTGATGCTTCCTCATGACTAGATGCAGGTTATGCACTTTTTTGCAGGAATGCCATAGAAACGCCAGCCCCTCCTGTGATATATACTGCAATATATAAAGTGACAAATATTTGTTCCATAATTGATGATAGTCACTTTGATTACTTATCAGGGTGACTACCAGCCTTCTTCACTGCAAAGTTACTCTTTTCCCCTTTGTACATCATACATATCTTATGGGAAAATATTTTGAGGCTATGTAAATATCCTGTTTCTCACAAAACTTCCCTCAATAGTTTTAGCATCCATCATTGATTCTTGCCTTATTCAATTGTAATATTACTACAATGTTTTCCAAATTGACATTTTTCTAAATCTACTATTAATTTTACATTTAGTAGTTGGCTTTACTTATTTACTTACTTGTACCATTATGGACTCATGGTGTCTTATTTTATATTATGTGTTATAATCATCCCACATATTTTGATATATTGTTTTTCATTAAAAATCAATTCAAAATATTTCCTAATTTCTTTTATGATTTCTTTTTTAATTCATGAGATTTTTAGAGATGTATTGTTAATTTTTAAATATTTGGGAACTTCATAGATATCTGATGTTACTAACTTGTACTTTAATTCCTTTGGTATTATATTTCAATATTCTATAATGTATTGAACTTTATTTTATAGACCAATATATAGTTTATGTTTAGTGAATATGCCATGTACATTTTAAAAGAATTTGTATTCTGTAGTTGTTGTATATAAGTTCAAAAATGTCATTTAGGTCAAGTTGGTTCACATATTTTATGTATTCATGATGTTTTGACTACTTGTACTGTGTATATTACTGTACACTAGACATTGTAGATGTTACATTGTGAGGAGTGTGGATTATAATGTCTTTTTTAAAAGGGTATTATTGAATTTTGTCCTAGCAGGGCATTAAGTTAGTGATGAGTCATTTTGATCCTGTCAAGCTTGGTTTTATACTTTTTAAAGACAGATCTATTTCAGTTTTGTACATGGTCTTAGAATGTGGCCCTTATTCTTAATGCACTTCTGGATTTCATGTAAATGTTCAGTAAGGTTACTTTAGTTTGGCTGAATCAGAACTCCAGTATTTCTAAGAACTGTGAAAGCTTTAGCATCTCCATCCAACTCTCAGTCTCACAGCAGTGGCTTTTTGCTAGGTGTTGTCAACCTGCAGTCTAGCCCACCATCAATGAGGACCCAAAGGGAACCACCATGAAAACTTCTGGGTCTTACCTCTTCACAGAGATTCCCCCTTTCTGGTATCACCAGAAATTCTAGAGCCTAGAAATTCTAGCCCCCAAAATTCTAGATCCTTTATCATCCCTGAATTCTGAACACGGATCTCTGGCTCTTTAGCTGAGTGACATCACTGGTCTCTGCTTTTAAATTGTATGGAGCTCACCTGTGTGCTTCCTTTTTTTTTTTTTTTTGTTTGAGGATCACAGTCATGGCACTGCTTATTGTCCATTGCTTAAATATAGATGTCTTGTGTGTTGTATCCAGTTTTATAGCAGTTTACTGTCGAAGGGAAGGTCTGAAACTAAATTTTCTATTAGCCAGAAGAGGAAGATCCCCATTTCCCTCACCAGTTGAGCCAATGTTAATTGTATTATCACTCCTCTTTTCTTGGGTCTTAGCAGAAAACAACCTTGAGCTCATTGGGAACCAACGAGAAGCAGATAACTTTTCTAAAGGACAGAAGTTTGAGAATGTACATTTTAAAATATGTTACATTTCTCTAGTTCACATGACACCTTAAGACTTAACTGTCCTTTTGTTTCCCAAGATGGAGATGGGTTCTTAAAGAGCAAACTCATGGTCCTAGAAGATTTATCAATATAATGTCTGATGTCTGGTGTCTTAAAGAAAATCAACATGTGAAAGTATTATTTCCTGGAGTCAAGAGTGAGGAAATAGAGAAATGGGCAACTGGTACTACCATTTTGTGTTCCTTTTTATTGTCACTGCACACAATAGACTTCTTTTGGTTTTAATATGTACTAATATTAAAAGTGCTTAATTTGGATGAATCATCTTAATAAATTAGGGGTCTGTAAATCATTTAAGCTAGATAAGATATCATTCAGCAATAAGCAGTCTTAGTGAAATCTTTGTGAATTTCAGGGGAAAAAAAAGAAAAACAATAGCTTTCTTGGACTCATGGGTGGTCATCAAGTCATATATCAAAAAGTTTTAGGGAACTTCCAAATCCATAGTTTATTTAATAAAGCAGTTTGGTATAATGGGAAATGGCATAAATTTTAGAGTCAAACACAACTGGTTTTGAATTGTAACTCTGTTCAGTTTTCCTTATAGTCAGTTTTAACAACTATAAAATGGGTTTACTGGTTAGGATTATAAAAATTATATAAAGCCTCTAGTATAATGCCTGGCACATAGCAGGTGATCAGTAAAAGTCAGCTTCTTTAATTTTGTGAGATGTAATGATTTTGTTGTTGATAACCATAAAGCACATCCTCGAGCAAGACAATTAGGCATGCATGTAAATTTAATCAGGCATAAATGTAAATATCTCCTATTACTACTACTACTACTACTACTTCTACTTGCATTATTAATCTTATAGGATTAAAACAATTCTTCAACTTGAAGAGCTAAAAAAATTTTTTAACATCCTTGGAAATAAGTTAAAATCTGAAAAAAAATTAGTTTCTCTCTAGTGCTTTTACTATAATTGAGTGATAACTCTAGTATATGCAACATTTTATATTTTATTTGATTTTGGGCATAAAATTGATGGCATGTCATGCTTAAAACTAGAAATCTGTGACATTCAAGGCTCTTTGTGATTAATAGTTCAGACATGATAGCACATCCAGAATGGGAAAGCAGCTAGTGCCAAGTTTAACACTTCACTCACCTCCCAAAAATATGCTACAGAATGTCTGTTTCCAGTTATGGCAGATAAGGTTATAACAGACCAATACTCCTGCTGAGAACAACTAGGACATCTGGCTGAAATATTTTTTTTTAATTCTGCCTAAGGACTGGAGAACTACCTATGCAGTAAGTATTTAGGGACCAAGATACTAGACAAGACAGGTACAGTAGTACATGTCTATAATCCCAGCTACTCAGGAGGCTGAGGTAGGGAGGATCAATTAAGCCCAGGAATTCAAGACAAGCCTGGGCAACACAGTGAAAGACCATTTCAAAAAATGAAAAAGAGAGAGAAAGAGTAGACAGAATAGAAACAAATGAAGCCCAAAGAGGTAGAGAGGTAAGCCTGACATCTGGTGCTGCTTTTCCTTTTCAAAGCATTTGCTAATTTATAATTGGTGGCTAAGACTCTGTGAAACTTAACAGAAAGTAGTGGTTGAGAAGTTGAGAAGCTGCACAGAATTTACTGGGCAAAAGGTACAAAGATATACTTCAGGGAATGCTGAGGAAGAAGGGCTTTCAATTGGAACTTCTGAGGGGCTATATTTTTGACATAAAGTGGAAATAAACC